AAAAATTTAAAACCCCCCCCCCCCCCCCCACTCCTCAAACATAGCAGTATATTAACCCGATATACATGTGACACCATTATCATATAAAAAATCGGATTTATATACAGGCCATTACCAGGGGGGGTCGCGGGGGGGGGGTCGAAAGAACCACCCTTTTTTGCTGTCAAAAAGTCCAATCTGGGTAAAATTTGATCTAGGTATACGAAGGTTTCATTGTAAAGGGTCCAAATATTCAGGTAAAGAACCCCCCCCCCCCCCTTTTTGAAATTGCTGGCTAAGGGCCTGATATAGTTTAATTACTTTATTGTAATCACAAGCCCTTCCACTTGCAACACATGCAGAAAAAAAACACGAACACGATTTTGAATTCAGGCCTAGTTTCTTTAGCGTTGTGTGTTAGCCAATCTCTTGTCCGTGTAGTGCATAAAGGCATTGATTATTGGTGTCCATTTGAGACATCTGCATTTATGAAGTGTGATTCTTAATGCTTGTCACTCGGCTCATAAATGGGAGTAATATAGACGGGAATTGCACCCGAATTACAGACGCTTACTACTCACAAATGTACTTACCTTTCAGAGAAATGAAGAAAAGGCTCCACGATACATAGTTCACAATCCAACAGGTGGCCATCGTCTTGCTCTGATACTTACTGTGACTGAGTACTAACAAGAAGCGGTCTATATATATATGATATAGAAAACAGGGTGACGAATTCTTCAGGCGGGGTATAACAATGACGTATTTCAAAGGTAAGTTATCCTTTGCTATAATTTCAGAGCAGTTTGAGGAAAGAGGACGAGAAAAGACGAAAAGAGATTTATCAATAAAATGGAGGTGATATTATTTGATTTTTAAATAAGCCCAATGTTTTTGTAGCGCAGAAGTTTGGCGTTTGGAACAGATCACACAACTTCGGGTACATAATTCAGCCTCACTAATGCTACGTACCACAAGTCCTTGCTGACTAAATTAAAATTTTCAAATATAGCTTCACCTTGGTTTCAACCATATATGGTGAAAAAGGTCCCACTAATTGCAGTTGACTCGTGTGTTTATTTTTACTCTTTAGAGGAATTAACGGATACAATAATCTAGAATCCTTTCAAAGAAGTTAAAATATACTGGTATTTCCTTTTGCGCCAAAACTAAACTAATGTGCGATCCACTCGAAGTTTAACTTTAATTTTTTTCGAATTTCATCAAATTTTTAAAAAATGTATACCATTTCTATTAGATGTCTTTATATATTTATCAATTTTCTTTTCAGTATATTCAGTTATAACACCGTGCTGACGTCATTATGTATTTCCACCCGACCATACCTCAGTGACTAATAAATGCAGGTAGGTACACGTGGGTCGGGAAACTAATTCAAAAGCACCCGAGGTCATTTGAGTCTTTATTTTAACTTGTCATTTTGACAAAGGCGCTGTTAACAGGTGTAAATTTTGATAAGAATTTGAACCTCACAATCCGCCTTCTTGATTTTAGATTTTTCGTCATTTCGACCGTTAAAAAGCAAGCAGGTTAGTGCCATAAGTGTTGTATTCGCGTAACTCAAGCAGAAACCCGTTTCATAAAAGAACTTAAGTCTACTTTAATCCATGATTAAATAATCGGTGGTTCTCAAATTAAATAAATACCAACATTTGGGTCTTAAATGTTACGACCAATTTTCAAACTGAAGTTCTGTGAAATCGGTCTCAGTTTAACTGAGCTTACTTTGTTGGCGGTGGACGGTGTGTGTGTATGGGGGAGATGTATTATGTGGTTCTTATTAAAAAATTATTATTTTATGCGATTCGCTTTTTTTTTTTGGGGGGGGGGGGTGATCAATTATTTTAATTTCTTTTCAGCAGAGAAATTTGTCGGTCAGAGCAAGGAGACAGAAAAGTCTGATTGGAAAAAAATCCGAAAAGATAAAACGAATCCTAAAAGTACAGTGCTTGTTTGAAAAAAGTTTTTCATTAAAACAATGTTCTTTTTGTTGGTTCAAAGAGGGAATATGTTTTCTGGTTCTTTGATTTTGTGGTCATTCACCATATTCCAATATGCCCCCCCCCCCCACCAGTGGCAGATTTAGAGGGGGTTCAGGGGGTCCTGACCCCCCCCCCTCGGTTTCTGAAAAATATATCACACTAATATTCCCCTCTTGAAATAAGAATTTTGATTATCTTAATCATACTTCTAAGCCGTACCAAAAGGGCACTGTTTGCTCTCCAAAACACTAAAAATTATACGGGGCCCTTGAGCAGGCACTGAACCCAACAATAAAGGGATGACGGTCGGCTTCGAATCCGAGGCCTATCGATCCTGGCTCCCCCCTCCCCTTCATATAATCCTGGATCCGCCCCTGCCTCCCACAAGTAGATATTAACAGAGCACTTTTGTCATGAAATCGTTCAACTTATATTCACAAACAAATCATAAAATTTATTGTTAACAAATAAAAAAATACTTACATTTAGATGAATTCCAATCAAATATCTTCAACTTGATTAGAATATGAATGCACTGCAAATAAATACAATGAAATAGTAGGAATAGTTCCTGAACAAAACGAGGAAACTTTTTGAACTTATTTAATAGAATGAAACAATTGTTAAGCTTCTAGATTTTTTACCAAAGAAATTTGATACGCAACAACGACAACCATTATCTTTTACTAAAAAATCACCCGTTTTCCAGGTTTGCTGTATGACTGCTACACATAAAAAATACTTCTCTTCTGGCATGTAATTGCTAAAAAAAAAAAAAAAAAAGCAATGTTAAACTTTGTACGTTATCTATGAATAAAGTTCACACCAGAGAAACAAAATCAGAAAGAAAAGACTGATCGCGCGGGCCAGGTACTCGTGGAATCTCGCGAGATCTGACGTTCCTCCGTTACACAGTCTCTCGTCGTCACACACGCACACTTCTCCAGTGATGTTTCCGAAAATCACGTTCCCTGAAAGGGTCAAGGTCGGGAAGAAGCTCGTGTCCCACGTGTCGTTGTCAAGGGGATCAAACTGATGACAGCCGTTTACTCCCGCAAGACCTTCTGGTGCACAGGACCGCGCTGTGAGGTGGAGATCCATACTGTACTTCTTCTGAAGAAAAGATCAAATCTTTGAAAACTAAGAGGATAACGAATGACGTTTAATAAATGGGTGTGGTTTCTCAATAAACAAAGACTGAAAGGAACCAAAGAAAGGGATCGTAAATAATGATCCAATCAAATGATTAATTGCCAAACAGCCCCGTTTTAAAATTTATCGGACGCGATTTTTTTAATTGTCTATCTAGTAACAAAAATTGGTACTGCGGTCAGAAATAGATCATTTTGTTCAACCGTTTCAAACATACTTTTTTTTAAATAAGCAATAATTACTCAACAAGGCAATAAACCTTGTACAAAATGACAATCTATAATCCCATTTGAGTTACAAGATTTTTTGCGTGATTCTCTTAATGGAGATGGAGACTGGTAAATTTCAACGGTTATAATTACAAAAGAAATTTGGATCACGAAAACGGGTTACTGTTCGCATTTTTCTACATAGCTGGGCCTGGTTATACCTTGTTAATTGCGGGGAAAATGTTTGCAAATTCCATGAATTTTCTTTTCTTTTTTAAATTTGCTTCATTTTATGAATTTAACCATTAAATTTATTTATTTATTTGCCATATAAAGGCGAATAGCTAGCTCATAGTAAGTCTCTAACCCACCTCAGAAAATCCAGGAAGTGGAAACTTCATGGTAAAACTGACGTTGCCGCGAACACAGGCCCCACTCTGACACAACCTCTCCTTGCCTGTCCTCGGTCTCACCTTGTGGACATCCAAACAGCTGAGATCTTGGGGAAAGCTGGACCCCATCAAGTCTCGGTTAAAAGCTGTCTCATCCGCGGAGGCCTTGACATATATGCAGTCGTAGCATTCCAAGGATTCGGATCTGTTAGCTGAAAGATAGATAAGGAGACCCAAATACATTCATAATACATTAATACACCGCAATCCTCTTATTTATTTATTTATTTATTTATTTATTTATTTAACGCGGAGAGTTCATTGCTGTTTTTAGATTGCTTTCATCGTTGATTTTACCCCTTTTCGTATAACAAGGACCACCAAACACACGGTCTTCTTTATACAGGAAATACATCATCTGTTATGAAATTTGATAGTTTAAATAATAATGATAATGCNTTATCAAACCGTCTGCAGCGTTACATTCACCTTGTCCATTAATTGCCTGGGTAGAATCCTGCTACATGCTCTATAAATTTAGTACCAAATTCTTTTAATGGTGTAAAGGTCGGATTGATTCACTAACGGGGTGAACAAAAAACAAAACTTGCGTGCTTTTATCACATGACTGTGTCTCAGCAAACCAGGATATACAGTATGTGTATCTGGATATACCTACTTCCCTCTCCCAACCAACCAACTTATTTTAACAGGGTCGAAGTCCGTATACTATTTCATTACATCTGCAGATTGCATCCCCATTCCTTTCTGTTGCTAATTTACATTGTGTGTGAATATCGTGCACGCTGTGATTCAGATACTGAACACACCTGCGTGTTGCAACCTCTTATTTCATGTAATTTGAGGAAGGATAAATGTATAAAATTATAACATCCCCCCCCCCCCAACTCCTCAAACATACCAGTATATTAACCCGATATACATGTGACACCATTATCATATAAAAAATCGGATTTATATACAGGCCCTTACCGGGGGGGTTCGGGGGGTTCGAAAAAACTACCCTTTTTTGCTGTCAAAAGGTCCATTTTGGGTAAAATTTGATCTAGGTATACGAAGGTTTTCATTGTAAAGGGTCCATATTTTCAGGTAAAGAACCCCCCCTTTTGAAATTGCTAGCTAAGGGCTTGATATAGCTTATTACTTTATTGTAATCACAACCCCTTCCTGACATCCACTTGCAACACATGCAGAAAAAAACACGATCACGATTTTGAATCCAGGCCTAGTTTCTTTAGTGTTGTGTGTTAGCCAATCTCTTGTCCGTGTAGTGCATAAAGGCATTGATTCTTGGTTTCCATTTGAGACATCTGCATTTATGAAGTGTGATTCTTAAACGCTTGTCACTCGGCTCATAAATGGGAGTAATACAGACGGGAATTGCACCCGAATTACAGACGCTAACTACTTACAAATGTTACGAGTCATTGATCTGTACTTACCTTTCAGAGAAATGAAGAAAAGGCTCCACGATACATAGTTCACAATCCAACAGGTGGCCATCGTCTTGCTCTGATACTTGCTGTGACTGAGTAGTAACAGGAAGCGGTCTATATATATATATATGATATAGAAAACAGGTTGACGAATTCCTCAGGCGGGGTATAACAATGACGTATTTCAAAGGTAAGTTATCCTTTGCTATTATTTCAGAGCAGTTTGAGGAAAGAGGACAAGAAAGAACGAAAAGAGATTTATCAATAAAATGGAGGTGATATTATTTGATTTTTAAATAAGCCCAATGTTTTTGTAGCGCAGAAGTTTGGCGTTTGGAACAGATCACACAACTTCGGGTACATATTCACCCTCACTAATGCTACCACAAGTCCTTGCTGACTAAATTAAAATTTTCAAACATAGTTTCACCTTGGTTTCAACCACATAAGGTGAAAAAGGTCCCACTAAATGCAGTGGACTCGTGT